AGCAGGAAGCAATTACTTTTTTATTATTACTGTTAAACTCTAGGATACTAAATGTAAAGTCCCTTTAAAGTGTTCTTTTAGAGAGCAATTATCTCATTCCATAGTCTAAATGTGTTTTTTTCTTTCTATGTACAATCTACAACAAGCGCATCTTTCTTTTATGAAATCCTGAAACAAAGCAGTTCATAACGCTAGAATGAGGGAAGTGCTTGTTAGATATTAAAAACTTTCATTTAAGAAGTAGTCTGAAAACAGCAGTATGTTAACTTTTGTATATTCAAAGGATGAAGATTAAAATTACTTTGGCATTTCCTTAATTTCACTCAGCGTTTCTTTTGAAAATTAAATATCATATTTATTATCTAAATATAATTAATGTTTCCTTCTCATATACTTTTCCCCAATTATTTATTCATTAGTGATTGTGACTTTTAAAACTATTTTAATCAAAAAGACTTTGTCAGTGATCTGTTTGGCTTCATAACTTCTGCTGTGAAAGTAGACTTCGCAGTACCACTTGTCAAATGGCATACTGAGAGAAGGTGCAAAAGCTGCCATAAATTAGAGTTTTTCAAAACAAAGAGCTTTTACAAGAACATGCAATTTTCAAGTGTTGCATAACTGGACAGAACAGAATTTTTTTTTAAGGCTTAATTTAATTACTAAAGTAAGAAATAATTTACAGAGTGATGGTATATTAAAGTGTGTCAGACATCAGCCCTTTTGGTGACATGGTAGCTCCCTGATGCCGTTGTTATAATTCAGATACCAAGTTTTAGTCATTCTGGTAGGATGAAATTTAAACCTCTGTGCTAATGAATTGTGTTAACTGCTTCTGTGTGACATATTTAGCCTTGTGGTGGTGGTGGAGGCCCTGTTAGTGCTGGTATGAATGATGCCCTCTGTAATCTGCTGGTTTTGCAGTGGAATAGAACTGAGAAAATTACATGCATTATTGGGCTGCTTTTTCTCGTTAATACTTAGTGGGTTGGACACCCTCAGTATCAAATGGGCATAGTTTAATTTTAAATACCATAGTTGTGTTTAGGGGGAATGCTTAAAGCTTACTTCCTCACCAATACTATGGAAAAAAGCTTGCTACCATGTGGCATGGGCTGATTCATTCAGTTAGTATTTCCTTACTGCTTCCTGGTTCAGACAAAATAGTGATTATAGTATTTTAAATGCTCATTTTGTAAGCTATCACACAAGGGATATTTTTTCCCTTTGCATTTCGGTTTACCTTTTTAAGTCCACAGATCTTATACAATGATTGGAGCTCATGAAATGCATACTACTTTGATCTGTGACCTTTTTGTGGTGCTAATCGGGTTCCTGATATCATTATACCTTGCTCATTAATCATATTTCCTGCAGCCCGTCAGCCAGCCAGACAGCACAAGCCCCTGTTTGCAGCCTTGTGTTGGCAGGTTTCTGCTTTTCCAGATTATTACAGTGTGATACTTTGGCTTCTCATAACCAGAGCCACATCAAGCTGTGTGCTACAATTAAAGTCAGATGGTCCTCAGGTTGAGCAGGGATATACTGTTGCAGCTGTCTGTCTTTCTGGAACAGACCGGCACAGGGAACAGATGATATGTAGGACAGTGCATAATAACAGCTTGTACAGTACTGGGTCAATAGCAGGGGTTCAGAACATTAATTGGCAGGCTGATAGCTGATTTAAAAGTGATTCCCAACCTATTTTTAATTCTATAAACTATGTCTTTTAATGGAAATAGATTGTTGCAAGTCCTCTGTGTTTGCTCTGAAGGAAAATGAGGAATGGTGTATAATTAAAACTGGGTTTTGATTGATGGAATGTCATGATGAGCTAAACGATAGCATCAGGATGTCATTCTAAGCAATACAAAGAAGTGTAAGATGCATGTATTGCTTCTGCACATAGTTGGTACTTTGTATTAGTTTATGATAGCACAATATTTTATAAGAGCACAAATCAATGCGGGGGGGGAAGGATATTTTTCTCTGACACAGTCTGCAGTTGGATGGAAAAGTGGCTGGGTTTTTTACCATTCTGAAATCTTACTATATACCTCTAAAGCTCTGTATTGTAGTTAGTTCCAGAGAATAACTGCTAAGGCATTTGAAAATATTTTTCAGTTTACAAATATGCAGTTAATGAAAATTGTATCATTGTATAATGTAATCAATTTATATGTGTATGCATGCATGCATGTAATAAGAATTATAGTATAAGCTTAATAAGAGCAAGAAGCTACAGACTTTGAAATGAGATAAAATTGTAATTCCTTCTCCCAGCAAAACACAAAAATCCCAAATGCAACATAGTATTCCATCCTTTTTTATTTCAATGTTATGATATCTTTAGGACATTACTAGGTGAACAAAGGGAAGAATGCTAATGTGGTCTGATATTAAATAAAAAGAAAATACCCAACATCTTTTTGGTTTTCCATGCTGCCAGGAGACCTATAGGAAAAAGAAATGGGAAGTAAACTGGGAAGGGAAGAGTACAGAGAGCTAGATAGATGTTCAGATGTCATTTGGATACAGAAATCTTAAACAAAAACTGAAGCAGTAGTTGACAGACACTGGAATAGACTGTAGAATAGAATAGAATCTGTTTAAAATTGCATTTTTCTGAGGTCTTCTGTTGGCTTCATAGTCTTTGTTTTGTTAGCTGCCCTACTTGAGAATAGTTTTCATTTTTAGAAATTTAAATTACTTGTTGGAATTAGTGATAATTACCCCGTTAATGCTGACAGAAATATTAAATGACCTTCTCATCATGCAGAACAAAGTAGACAGTCATGAAGACCAGGTGCAACCCAAGGAAAAGTCCCATACTTCTTACTGATAGTTAGGGATAGCT